TATATATATATATATATAATTAAATAAAAATTGTTGACGTGTTCATGAATAACATTACATCGTAATTAGTTTGTCACATAGAAAATAACAATATTAAAAAACATAATAAATTATTAATTTCAATTGAAAAAAAAGAAAAGAAACACAATATATCTGTAGTAAAAAATACATTTAAAATTTCAATATTATTTTTTTATGCGACTAACTAACTATCAGGTATGGTTGTTTATGATTACATTAGCATTTTTTTTAATTATGAATGATGCGTTAATTAGTGGACTGAAATTATTTACTTTTGAAAACTTTGAGAAACAAATTTACAATAAAAAAATTTGAGAAATAAAAATTATAAAATTATAAAGATCAAATATAAATTTAAGTCAAAATTAAATATGTTTAGTAAAAGAAACAATCTATAAAACAACAATGAAAATGAGGGGGGAGACAAGGTGTAAAAAAAAAGGGAGATCACCCCAAAAAATTATTTTTCTTTTATAAAAATGAGTGCAATTTATGTACCAAATTTTACTCAATTCAAATATCACGAATCTTAAAAGTTCTATACTATTTTTTCCACCTTATTTTATTTGTCATTTTAGTAAAAGAAAAAAGTTAGTGTCATTTGATAATATCAATAAAATGTTAAATGTAACTATATATTGTTATGTGAAAAATATAAATATAGATGAAAATAATAGGTTTAAATATGTTTATTTTCTTAAATTTAGAATAATTTTTTAATTCCTATAATCTAAAAAGTAGTATTATCCCTTAAACCATTAGTAATTTAATTGATAGTGATAAAATGAAATAATTATGTAGTATAGATAAATTTTAATATGATGTTTCTCAAACTAAATAAGATTTTTTTTTTTTAAATTACGAAGATTAAAAAAATTAATTTTAAATTTTAGGTATGAAAGATAATATAATTAATGTGAAAGATACACAATATATTAGAAAATTGCAAAGCTAATTTTAAAATCTAAAATATTAATTATATTTTTAATATTTTTGTAAAAATCTTAAACATAAAAAAATAATGAAGATAATATATATATAAATAAAAGTATAAAGGTTTGTCTCTTACCTTGCAATCTAAAATCCAAATCTTTATCACAAAAAGTCACATTTAATATTAGACTAAATCTCAAATATGATTATCTTTGATAAAAATATTCTTATTAAATTTTTTTTATCACATTCATCTATTTAAAATACCGATAAGAAGCCAAAAAAAAAAACTATTTAGGCACAATGTAATAGAAGTTGAGATTTTATGTAAAAAAATTTAAGTTCGAATTTTATCATTTCATTGTAATTCACAAATTCCTATAAATAAAAAAAATACAATAACTTTTGTCCTTTTTTTATTTTAGTAAGCAAAACAATTTTTATTGTGATTTTATGATATTAATAAAATATTAAATGCATTTTTTTTATTATATCCTTAACTATATATTGTGAAGTGAAAAAATATAAATATAGATGAAAAATAGTAAGCTTAAATATGTTTTTACTTTTTAAAATTTATGATAAATTTATTTTTATTTTTATTTTTTTTTTAATTTTCATAATAAAAAAAATTTATACTCCCTCATACCACTAGTAGCTTAATTGATAGTGAAATATTAAGACAGTTATGTAACAATAATTTATTTTAATGTGATATTTTTTTATATTAAAATAATATTTTTCTTAAATTTTAGAAATTAAAAAAAAATTTAAATTTAAGAAATAAAAATAAATTTAAACCAAAATAATATAATTAATGTGAAAGATACACGATATATTAAGGGATTACATAATAAATTTTAAAATCTACGACATTAATTATATATTTTAATATTTATTGTAAAAAACTTACACATCAAACAAAACAAAACATAAAATAACGAAGATAATAAGAATATATAAGTTAGTCCTTATCTCTCAATATAATATTCAAATCTTTATCACAAAAAGTGTCACATTTAATGTTCGACGATATCTCATATATGATTATCTTTAAATAAAATACTCTTAAAAAGTTTTATATTACATATATTTATTTAAAAGTACCAAAAGATATCAATAAAAATATAAAAAATACAATTTATTTTTTAGACACGATGTAATGAACTTGTATGACCCAATGTCTTATAATCTTAAACATTATTATTGTTATTGTAATTCATTAATTCCTATAAATTTTAAAAAAAACAATAATCTAAAAAATAGATTGAACTGTCAAATTGCGATTCAAATAAAATCACAAAATCAAACTCGAAAAATCGGTTTTAAAAAAAGGGGTCAAAGTTTGGAAAAAAAAAACTAAATAATAATAAGTCAAAATAAAAAAATATTTAATATAACATCATTTTTTTGGGGTAAAATAATATATATATAACATCATTTAATAACTTATTTAAAGTCTTTTTCATTTTAAATATAAACTTATAATTATAAATAGATAGTTTGTTTGTTATCAAAATTTTAAATTTTTATGTGTATATTAAATATTTACAATTTACAAATTATATTTTATTTTTAATTTCAAGTATTATGAAATTATAATATTATTGATATTTAAAACTATTTTATATTATTATTTATTATTTTATTAATACCAATTCAACCACTACATTATTAAACTGTAAACACGATGAATCCAATTTTTAGAAATAATTTATTTCGCCATACTAGCATTTAATTTTTATGAAAAAAACAAATCTGAATTATGTTTTTTTGTTTACATTTGTGACGTCCCGTGGTGGTGGGTGGCTCCATAATCCAAACCGTCAAAAAAATGGTACTGTAAAGTTGCTCTCATCACTCATGTCTCTCTTTCCTGTTTATTGCTCTATTCAATTTATTCATTATTATTAGATCCAAGTTAATCGTTAATTGTTAAAGTTATTAAACACATTATTTTATATAGAGAGAGTCATAGATAAATTGGTGGAAATATTGTTGTGTCTCTGGTTATGTATTTGCACAAGGAACAAGGAACAAGGAACACGACAGACACAGAAATCTAATCATATCATAAGACAAACGAAACAGAGGATGAACGAGCTTCAAACTGATTCCTCTGCCTCTGCCTCTGCCTCTGCCTCTGACTCTGAGTTTGTTGAACTTGATCCAACTGGCAGATATGGCAGAGTAACCATACCATCCATTACTATAACACCCTCTCTCTTTTAATCTTATTCTCACTTTTTCTCTCTCTCTCTTTGCAGTACAATGAAATCCTCGGCAAAGGAGCTTCCAAGACAGTGTATATCAATATTTCCAGATTTCCCTTTTGTCATTTCTTCAAATTTCCCTTTTTGAGGCTCCTCTGAAATGGGCATTTGATATTTTTATTTTCGATTGATTCAGATACAGAGCATTTGATGAGTATCAAGGGATCGAAGTTGCGTGGAACCAGGTCAAATTGTATGATTTTCTGCAGAGCCCTGAAGATCTCGAGAGACTTTACTGTGAAATTCATCTCCTCAAGACGTTGAAGCACAGAAACATAATGAAATTTTACACGTCTTGGGTCGATACTGCAAACAGAAATATCAACTTTGTCACTGAAATGTTCACTTCTGGCACCCTTAGACAGTGAGTTCCCTTCATTTTTATCTTATTTGTACTTTGGTTTTCTCAGAACTTGTATTTATTTATTTTAATCATGAAAATAGGTATAGACAAAAGCACAAGAGAGTTAACATTAGGGCAGTGAAGCATTGGTGTAGACAGATCCTGAGAGGGCTTCTCTATCTTCATAGCCATGACCCACCTGTGATCCATAGAGATCTCAAATGTGATAATATTTTTATCAATGGAAACCAAGGGGAAGTTAAGATCGGAGATCTTGGGTTGGCAGCAATTCTTCGCAAGTCCCATGCTGCTCATTGTGTAGGTATGTCTATGTCTATTTCTATTTCATGTCAGTATATGTCACATAATCAAGAAAAAAAGAATAAACATTCATTTTGGTCTCTGAATTTGGAAGTCTCCATCATATTAGTCTCTTAAAATTAAAAAGTTGTAAAATTAGTCTTAGGATGTCCTAGTTTTAGGGACTAATATAACACCGTCTTCGAAATTCAGAGAACAAAGCGAGACTTTACTCAAAAAAAAAATAAAAAAATCTGGCCAATTGTAATTAGTTAAGTTCGTTGATGCTTCCTTTTGAAACTGATTTGGCAGTAACATATGAAACTGTATGATGTGTACTGCAAGGTTGGAACAATTGTAATTTAAGGTAGTTTTAGAGGATTGATTTGAACAAGGATGGTAATTCTGATCAGAGTTTTATCTGTTACATTTTGTATTTCCAAAGGAACGCCTGAGTTCATGGCACCAGAAGTTTATGAAGAGTCATATAACGAATTAGTTGACATATATTCATTTGGGATGTGTGTATTAGAAATGATCACATTTGAATACCCTTATAGCGAATGTAGCCATCCAGCACAAATCTACAAGAAAGTTATTTCTGTAAGATTGCTTTCTTTCTCTTTTCCGTTGAATATATGTTTCTTTATTTTGGGAGTAGCAAGATAACAGTCATATTTTATGTCTCCAGGGGAAGAAACCAGATGCCTTGTATAAAGTGAAGGATCCAGAAGTGCGACAATTCGTTGAGAAATGCCTGGCAACAGTGTCTCTAAGGCTCTCTGCTAGGGAGCTTCTAGATGATCCTTTTCTTCAAATTGATGATTACGAGTATGATTTGGGACCAGTGGACAGTGGATCTTATGATGACTTTGGATCTCTTATCCATCAGCCACTCTTTGATCACCGTAGTTATAGTAATTTAAGTACTGAATTTGCAAATGGCTTTGAATATGAAGGAGACTGGTATTCTCATCCGGCTGAGATTGAACCTAGTGGAATCGAACTTTTCGAGTGCCATGATGATGAATCCTCTGAAGATGTTGACATAAGCATCAAAGGCAAGAGGAAAGATGATGGTGCTATCTTTTTGAAACTAAGAATTGCAGACAAAGAAGGTTGGAATGTCACTTTTAATTGTGTTGGTACTTAATCCCCATGACTTGTATATTTCAGGATGGAATTTAAGATTAATAATCTGACTTGTTTATGTGGCAGGCCATATTCGAAATATTCACTTCCCATTTGACATAGAGATGGATACAGCATTAAGCGTAGCCACTGAAATGGTTGCTGAACTCGATATTACTGATCAAGATGTTACCAGAATAGCAGATATGATAGATGGGGAAATTGCTTCGTTGATACCTGAATGGAAGCCAGGACCGGGAATTGAAGAAACTAATCATTTTGTAAATAAACAAAATTTTCATAATTGTGTGTCTAATCATACTTCTGGTGTTGTGGATTTTGTTTCACATAATCAAAGTGGAAAGAACTCGCAGCTTCCTCTATGCTCTAGCTTTGGATGTACTTCAATGCATGGGCGGTTTGAGGAGATTACCTTACAATTTGAGTATGACAAGCATGTGGGAAGGGATGCACCACCTAACGAATCGCAGTATCAGGAGTTATGGAATCATCAAGAAAGTTGTGAGGTGAGTCCAGTAGAGTCTGATCAAAGTCAATCTGATGAACAATATGAGCAATTAGATAAATCAGTTTCAGCAGAAGACAAAGTTTGTCAAGAAACCAAGTTTGCACATGATACCGGAAACTCCGCACGTAGTTTATCAAGAAATCATTTCTCTAGTATGCGGTTTTTATGTTTTGGCCGATCTTTTAATAAATATAAGAAAGAGGTTCAACAAGAATTGAGATGGAAAAAAGCAAAACACCAAATGGAGTCAAGGAAACTTAGGGATAAACTGTTTGGCATAGCAGCTAAATCTTCACATTCTAGTAGCAGAGAGCACAAAACAGAACAAGGCATTTATTATGCCACCTTCATTGACAGAAACAGTAAAAGGAGTGGACCATGGGATTCACTTGAAACCCTTGGATAATTTCTGGAATTATGATTCCAGTTCGTTCCTATTCTCAAGTCCAAAAGACCCACCCCCAAAATTGTGAGGTGATGTGTTCTCATGAATAAGGTATGGTTACTTCAAAGAGTTTCTACACAGGGTTGCTTCCAGACACTCTACAAAGGACAGTTTCCCTTCCTGTTGATGCTGTGGATACATAATTTTATGACAGTCACTGAATTCTTTTGTGCATTATGTACATACATAGAGTCTTACTGTCTTAGAGGCTACATCCTACATGATTTCAACACCCCACCTTTTTTTTTTCTTGGAATTTCAATTTCCCCACAAAGATACCAAATCCTTTTCTTACAGAAGTATCAATATACAGTACAATGTCATGTCATATATTTTGAATAAACAGATCTTTATTTTATTTTCATTTTTGGTGAGAATGGGGGATCGTGAACGTGGTTTGTGTAGTACCGAGTTTAACAATCGGTCAAGTCTGCGATTTTGTCCAGGTCTTTATTGGAAACAAATATTGGAATTATTAGTAATGAGAAAACAACGTCAGAGTTGCATGTATGTTTTTTTCTAAATAGAACTACAATAATTGTGGTGGCAACTAGGTCAAATTCGCCCTTTAAACTTAATGCGCGTGGAGATTCAACCCAATTGCCAATTGGTGTCTGTCCATTTAATTTAGTCAATTAGCCTTTATGATTCTTCCAAAACAACGAGCACATTCTAGAGCTCTTGGTGGAACCACCCGTCTGCTTGTTTCTAAATTCCAAACAAATCAACTAAATGTCTAAATGAGTAGTTGTTACGCTGTCACACACTGTTGCTTCTTTGAAATTACTCTCTGTTCGCTTGTACGTTTGTCTAAAATTGGTATTTAAAGAGGGCAAAAGTCGTTCATTTTTCATGTGCATGGGAATTGGGAAGTGAAGGAAGGGGCTGAAGGCACGTTGACAAATGAGTAATGACAATGCATTAATGCAATAAATTATTTCTGACGTTTTTTTTAAGACCGTGTACATGTCCGTACAATATTCCAGTTTCCAAGATTTTCGTTGATCATTTTTTTTAAGAGTCTATTTAGATTATTTTTTTTTTATAATTATTGAAGTCAAATTCAATATAAAAAATTTACATTTTACAATTCACTTAACTTAACCAAACAAACTAGATTGATTCCCGTGGATGGTAATGTATATGAATAACACTCAAAATGAATTCTACTTCCAATTATATCATAAAAAAGAAAAATAATTATTTATTATTTTATCTTCACCATAAAAAAATACGGTAATTACTCATTTTTCGCTATCAAGTCAATCCAAACGCTAATATACTATTATTTGGCGTGCCAGTTCCGACTGGGCGTTGGCCGATTGGATGGTTTATATTTCTGAACTTTTTGCTTATCCCATTGCCCTCAGCTTTGTCTCTTTTCAAAAGTAAATCGATTAATTGGACCCAAGAAACAGGTATAGGGTATTGTATATTTCTATGCGTGCTTTCTGGATTTGGATTCTGTTTACAGAACTACATAAGTAACTTTTTATTGATTGCCAATATAAAAAAATTTATATTGAGTGTACCATAATTAAATATCATTTGGAGATGTTGACCTTTTCTGAGGTGCCATGGCGTCAATAAATATCTCAAAATTCATGATTGTGCGCTAATGTTGAGCATGGTTGATATCGATTATATAATTGAACCTACCAGTAGCAAGTGGAGCTTAAGTCAGCAAGTGAGACTGAGATCAACAAGTAATAATTCCTCCAACTAGATATTAGAATCCATCTAGACCAATACCAAAATAATATTATAAATTATTGAACAATGAAATTATTTTACGATCATCACTTCCCAAACTTAAAAGTTCTTAAAGAATGTATTCCAATAGAGTCATGCACGAATAAATTCTGGAAAAGTTCACCGAATTTAACCGCAGAGCAATTTCTAAGCAGAAAGTGCACCTATTTCAATGATAAAATGATTTTCTATAATATTGTACATATTCTTTAGAGTTAATCCTACGGGTAATTTTTACAACTAATCCCATAAATGTCTAAGATTGAACCTTTGCAAGTGATACAACGTCGGCCGCATCTGAAAATTTGTCTTGCAGATTGAGTAGCAGGACAATTCAGTAGTTTTACTTTTAACTTAATGTTATTATTTTAGTATTGCTGGAGATGATCCTTAACTGAGCAATCATAACCCAATTTCAGTTCATAGCTCTAGGAGGCTAGAAGCAGAATGCTAGCCTACCATCACAATTTACAAAGGCCGCAAAAGTGGGTAATCTTCAAGTAACTCCCGTTCTGAGAGAGTATCGTTCTCATTCTGTGGTGTCCATAACACCTCAACTGCCTGCAAATAATTCACGCACATAGTGATATCATTTCAAAGAAATGAACCAACATCCGCAAAAGGACTAACAAAGTAACATTGATCTTACCAATAATTTGCTCGATGGAATGGATCCAAGTTTCTGCAAAGCTTCCTTCAATTCTCCACTTCCATTGATGCTGGGAAGTTTATGTACTCCTTCAGCAGCTGCCAAGATTGTTATCTGATATACATGAACATGAATTAGAAGAAAGATTCAACTGTCCTTACGGAACTTCAGCCTTTTACCATTCTGAGCAACAACGGACGAACATGTTGGAAATAAAGAAAATTATCTGCATAAAACATATTGTTTGTCCGTACTATTTCCCTTTCCACTGATCAGATTCACAGGGCTTAAATTCAAAATTTTCAGCTAAACAAAAAATGAGAACAGGTTAATATTAATATAGTTCACTCCAGTTACATGACTATTGAATTTAGGAGAAAAAGACAAGAATGACCAGACTCAGTTGAACAGGTTAATATAGTTCACTCCAGGTTATTTCTTAAAGACAAGAATGACCAGACTCAGTTGTGCTAATGTCCAACAACCACAGCAATAGATCTATGGGTTCCTGATGAGCAGCAAAGAAGAAAAAGGTTCTAAATTGGTTCAGATTGATTTTCATCTGTTTGTTCCTTTCATTTTTGTTGTTACTTCTTCGTCTTCCTCATAGAGCAATGTTTTTGACATAGACTCAGCATGTCAACAAGGCTCGTCCTTGAAAACAATCACAGGAATCTTCCCCAAGGTATGTAAATATGTTCCTATTGGAAAGGTCAAACCTACAAACAATTAACCTAGTGTCTCATTCTCTGTGATATGCTCTTAAGCTGGAAGCATAATGCTTACCTCAGGACCCCATAGGCTGATAGGCCAAACATATTCCACATCTTTTCAAAAAAAAATTTGGATAGAAAAAGGTCTTCTTTCCTAGATATGGATGACAATAGTGATATTAAACCTAAATGTTAGAACAGGTAAGAGGTACCTTAAATGTACTCTTAGTCATAAATGAAGTCTTTCCCTCTTCGTGCCTTATCACAGGTTAATGTGTAAAAATATGATTTCATTATGTTTTACTCACTACTAAAGTTAATTATAAGTGTATAGTGAAAATTTGGAGCAGAAAATGCATGTAGGAATTGAACACCTCGTGTTTGAATCCAGTTAGGCACCCTATTTCCCTTGGCATGAAACTTGGGATCTTGGAATTTTTGTACCGGTTTCCTACTAATGTACTTCATTTTGGTGTAAGGATTAGAGTACCCTTTGTGCTCTACAGTAATATATGTGATCTTTGTTGCTGATAAAAAAATGCATGTGGGAACAAAAAATATTAAAACACAAATTAAGTTATTGAAAAACAAGACTATACCACTATGTATTCATTGCTGAAACCATTCGTTCTCTGGCTTCTTGTGCTTTGTCTCTTTATGTTGTTAACATTGACCAGTGTCTCTTCATCAAACTTCCCCCGCTCTTCAATTGAAAGTTGATTAAAACGTTTCTCCCCATCTTCAATACCCCGCTTTATGTCCACCTACAAAAGTGCAATGTTAGAGAACCCATTAGTTAGTTAATAACAATCATAGTAAGTTAATTAGTTACAATTAGTAAAGGGTATCACATGTTAAATAGAACAGGAGAGAAATGGGGATCATCTTGTCATTTTGAGATAAAATTGGGGCCTTAGGGCATTGGGTGGTGTAGACCCTCAAAATTCTGCAGTGTTTAGTCTTGCATTTGGGTTTTTCCCTATTTCTTCCTAATAGGCTAATACAACAGCAGGTTTCTATCAACCAGTATCAGAGCATCAATCTTGGAGCTGTGGATTTGAATCTTGAAGATGATTTCACTGATTGATGGAGAGTAAGCTTATTGGTGATTGATCCAGACTGAGCAGTATTCTGAAGCCATTGAAACACATAAGGAAGAGAGGCTATAAAAGGTGGCAAAGGTTCCAAGAGGTGATGCCTCGATTGATGGCCAACATGAAAATAGCACAACCTAAATGTGACCTAGTGGACAATAGTGAAGGCACTGGTCAAAAGATTCCAACCAGAATATCATTATGATCGATCAGTGTTGGCTTATGGAAAGATGTACTAGAGCATTTGAGAAACAGAATTAGAAACTAGACTATCGTAATCGAGATGTGTTATCCGAAGAGTTTTTGTAGAAAATTATTTTTTGTAGCCGACTTAATTTTTGTACTTAGAATAGCTCATCATTTTTCCAACTAAGGACTCATATCGCATATAAATCTAATTATTAATGACTATAATTGAGTACCAAAATACGTTACCCGATAACAGGACAAAATTCTTACAAAATCCCGTGATTCTAGGGGTCCAAGAAGACATAATAGTTGGGTATAAGTCCTCGTCATAGGGCAAAGACATGCAAAATACACTTATGAATGTTTTGGCTTTAGACAAACGGCAATGTTATCTTTAATGCATTTTTCAAACCAAAACAAAAACCAAGAAGACTCTTAAGAGCAAGAAAACAGAACAGAAGATGAAGGTTTGGAGAGAACAAAATATATTTTCTTGTTTTCTGGCCCATGAAGTATATAATCGCACCTACAATCCAACTAATTGGGAGAGAATCAATAAACCCCTTTTTGGGAATGGTTCATCCTTCATGAACATAGCATACAACTATTCATTGTACTGCACTCTCCAAGTACCCCTTCTTTACCATGGCAAGACTTTGTGAAATAACTTCCATGAAAAGAAAAAGGAAGGTTTTAAGAGACCGTCTTGGTAGTTGGTATTACCCTAGACACTCTAAGATCCTTTTACAAACCTGCTCCCATTTTGAGTCCAAATAGACACATCTCAATAAGAGTCCAATTAGCACACATCTTCCTAATGAAGACTCAGGTTTCTATCAGTCAGGAAAATGAAATACATGTTTTCGACTTTTCTTAAACTTATTAGAAATTAGTTCAACCATAGCAAATGTTTCAGGTAAGGTCAATATAGAATATATTTGAAATTATATATAAGCTTGGGAAAGTGACAATCTAGAATATTAATGTGGAATGTGGTGTGTCACGAGATTTTATCTATCATAGCAATAAAATCAGTATGGTATTATGCATTAATATCAAGTTGTCAACAATCAATAAAAAAATAACATGATTAACTGCACAATAGCACTAAGCCGTGCTGAACTGATGTATCCAGTAACATCAGGAAATCCAACAAGGCTTGCAAGATTAAAGTCACTTACAGATGAATATGCCGAAATACAGTAATCAGGATGCCGAAGCAAAGCTAGGGTTGTCTCTATAAAAGAAAGTCAAATAACGAAGTAAATTAGAAAAAAAGTAGATCATACAGCCAAGTTGCTTTAAGCTACATCGCATAACAATAATAAAAAGTAATTTGATATTTAAAGTAAATATTCCTTTTCAACAATTTCTATGTTTCCTCAACAATAGGTTTGACTGACATCATTTTCCACACTACATTGACAAAAGTGTATATATTAACATAAATCTAGAGGCTTTATTCTTAAGTTATAATGGATGTGTACTGGAAACCTTAATATTTACACATTAATTGAAGAAAACAGACAGTACTTAGAACTTTAAAAGAATTATGCCATATAATCCTGGGGGCTTAAAACTATCCTCATATAAAGTGTAGTTTTGTGGCATCACACATCAGTCTCCATCTCCGGGATTTTCTTTTTGATTAAATAAGATATTTTATTGGAGCAGTGAACAAAATGTCCACAAATAGAATATCTTCATCAGGCTTACGCAAAACTTATGATTTGAATACCTTCAAACACAAATATCATAAAGAACTCATTTTTTTTATTAAAATCCCTCAATCCTTTGTCGATCATTACGCAAAATAGTGAAAATCATAAACATATTCACACAATTGATAAACCTTACAAGGAAAAACATAAGCAATGGAAAATAAATAATAAACAAGTGACCAACATATGTTTAGAAAATTCACCTGTCAATACATAATTCAGACCTTCTGGAGTTGATGTATCAGCAACTTCTGCAATCCTATTCAGATCCCTTTGAAGTGTGCGACCCATCCCCAACAATCCAACCTAAAAGAATAACATCTCCATTGAAAATTTGATATTTCTGTACAATGATAGCTAACAAGACGCTGACAAACAAGCCTTCTGAACACAATTAAAATGGCAACAAATCTTGGCACCAAAATAGAAACCTAGAAACCAAAATAGAAGTGATGAAAGCCGCTAAGAAACTGGAAGCAGCAACTACTATGAAGTCCAAATGCTACAGCAGGACCAATGTAAATTCCACTGCAGACACTGACCAACCCAGATGGAGAAGGCACATAATATGACACTGAGAAAGAGATACTTTGGTGAGGCTAGGATTGGAGGATGTCCTGGCTGCTGAATAACTCCTAGATAAAGATTGCAGCAGTCCCCCTAGCATCATTGCAGCCATGGCTGGTTTCCACAAGAGCTTCAGAACATTCAATACTGTATTTGCAAGAACCTCAAATGGGGATTTCGACCTCAAGTTTTCTCACTTCTTATTTTACTTGTGCAACAAGGGAGATTTGAAGCTAAATGTAGCACAACATTTTGTATAGAATATTGGAGTAAATTTATCATGTTTTGAGAAACTGTAATTGCAGTTGTGACATGCACTATGGGAGGTAATTGTACTAAGAAGTTCTGCTTCCACTTCAAGTTCAGGGAATTAGCTGCGAGCAACAAAATTGTGAGCAAGGTCACAAACACAAATTGGATGAATGATATTTGGCGAGGGGCCAATAGAATTGAGGGAGATGTGGAATCAAAACAGGAATATTTTGGGGAAAAGAATGTCAAAGAATTTAAAAATCTGAATGCAAAATCTCTCTCTCTCTCTAGTCTCTACTCTTCCAAATAGGAAATACCAATAGGGGGACTTGTCTGTGACCCTATGCCAGGTATGCAGCCATGGGCCAATAGGCCTTGTGAATCTCACCTTATCCCAAAACCTCTGTCCTTTTTACTTCTCATCACAACTCCTGTTTCCAATGGTCATGTCAGGTGGATCATTCTGTATAGCTTGTGACATTCTTTCTTAATATTTGATAAATAAATAAAATCCGAAGTGAAAGAATATCCAAACCAAAATCTTCATACTTGATAAATTTTTCTTATGCTTTCATTTATTGGGGGATCAATAGGATTCATTCAGCAACACAACTATACACAAACCACATGTTAGGGTATGTTCAGGAAGGTAGGTCCAGGTAGAGCATCAGCAATAAGAAAATCAATTACCTAATTTGAAACTTACTTTGTAGATTGTCCCATTCATGATATTTAACCCCCTCTGATATCTTCTTCAACAGTGCAACTGTTGGGACTCAAGTATTCTTCTCATTTCTCAACATCTCAAAGAAGACATGTGAATAAGTTTCTACAGTTTCTCTATTTATTGATCAATTGCAATTGCCATCCCTTTTTGAGGGCCACAACTTCTGATACAACTTCACAGCTTACTTCAGTACATCCATTTCACTCATCCAAAATTTACCCAATGCTCTGTCAATGGGTTTCCCTTATAACTTATAAGTTATAATACTGCTGTGATTCACTCCTTCCATATATTGCCATGAAATGTAATATATCAGCTATGGCCCTTTCAATCTCCTTGGCCTATGTATACTTTGCACTTGCCAATCACCCTCCAACAAACAACCATCAAACCTAATTATTGTTGCCTTCTGAATTACATTATTCTTAAAATGCATCTAATTTTATCCAATCACTATTGTTCTTATGAGCTTTTTTTGTTTCCAATAGCATCCTCCCATCCTGAAGGTGAGAAACTAATCTCTCAGCACTGCCGCGTGCCAAAGCAAGAATCCCTCCCTGGGGACCAAACCCCTTTCTACCCTGAGACTAACACAAGTCAGTATTCTTAAGAGCTTGGTATAATGCAAACTACAAACAAGTGGCTCGTGCCAGTACATAGATACTCCAAACCCTCAGAAGATAATTTATCTGTAACATGTACAATTCCCCACCCCCAACCTAAACAAACAACACCACCATTTAAATTCACCAAAAATTTCAGAACCGATAATTGTTGGGATTCATCCCAAGTCCCACATCTTTAAAATGAAGGAACATTGACTAGTTTATAAGGGTGTCCACCATTTCATATAGTATGAGGCCTTTTGGGAAGGAGCCCAAAAACAAAACCGTGTGGGCCTAGCCCAAAGCGGACAATATCATACTATGGTGGAGCAAAGTTGGACTATCGGACCAACAATAATAATTAGAATCTGGATTTGAACCTAATTCGACTCTCTAAGACGAGGGATATACACACTTATATACTCTAGTCGACGTAGGAGTTGTTTTTCCCAATTCTAGCACGATGGAATGGTATCGTCGTTCTAAAGTCACTTTGAAACTAAAAAGCAAAACACGGAAACAAAAACGAAGCAAGGAAGAAATAGAGTAGAAAATAGTAAGGGAAACCTGAAGCTTGAGCACGGTGGTTTTATCAGCAGCAGTGAGCACACTACCCTCGGAGCGATCCGAAAGAAAGCCAGAGACCAAAACAAAAGCGAGGAATCCCACTAAGATGAAAAAGAAACTGGAGCCCGCACCCACTCCGACCCCTACGGCGGGCCCAACATAAACCCCGCCGAAGGGAGAAGGCCCATAATACGGCGCGGAGAAAGAGAAGCCTGGGCTTGGGCCGGACGTCCTGGGCACGGAGTAAGTCCTGGACGATGAAGAAGAAGAAGAGGAGGAAAATGACCTCCCTCCCATTCGGCCTCCCGAGGCCGCGAAAGCCCAATTTGGATGGTACATTAACAGGAGGCCCACCAAGAGCGCGGCTAGGGCGGGTTTCTTGAGCGCCTTAAGCGTGCCGGAGACGGCGGTGGCGAGAAGGTCCCAGGGGGATTGCGAGGTGGAGGCGTTCTGTGGGTTCCGCCAGGAGAGGCATGCGGAAGGACGGCGTCGTTTTGAGTCGGGTATGGCAGTGAATTTGTGGGGTTTTGCGAGGCGTGGAAGTGCAGGCAAATGGCTCCACTTGAAGTGCGAGGGGTTGGCTTCGAGTAAGAGAGTTATCGGCATGGTCATGGAATTAAGGTGAATGAATGAATGAATGATAATGATAATTTTGGGAGATTGGAATTGGATATATTATATTTGTTTTCAGAGGAAATATGAAACGATCGCATCGCAATTGGCAGTCGAAGATTTGTGTGTAGGCTCTGGCCATGTAGGCAACCATGGGCCATCATGCCATGGGAACCGCATCTCATCCCCAAATCTACGTCATTTTCACTTTCATCCCACTCACGCCACGTGGCTTAATCCCCATTGCACATCCCTTTTTTATAACTACCACTTTAATACACTTTAATCATAATCATAATATTCTACATTCCAAATACTAATTATTGTTTGAACATATAATTTATTACTGTTTAATTTACCGTCGCTTATAAGAACAAACAAATATTTATCTTCTTTTTTTCTTTCTAAAACACGTCCCATTAATTACATATGAACAAAATAATGCAATTAACTTCGCCTAATTAAATAGGATCAATGATATAATTTTAACCCCTATCAAGAATCTATACAAATTTTAACCATTTTATTTTAAATACACGTAATAGGTCTATAATAAGTCACTCCAAATAATGTTTCATAAAATAAATAAAAAATAATGCTTCATCATTGATTATTGTCCTTCCAAATTTGTAAACATGGAACCTATTTTGAGAAAAAAAAATGGAAATAGCAAATAAGCACTAAAGTTATTTAACCAAAAAAAAAAACGAATATGAAAGAAGTTATAATGCTTCATTCGGGCATTGAGTTTTTTATTTTATTTATAAAATTTTCAATTAAATTCTTAAACTTAAAAGACTTATAATTTTATAATCTAGTTTTTAAAGTTGAAAATTCGTTTAAAACCCATAACATTTCATAAAATATTATTTACATCTTCAAACGTTAATCACGCAGAGGATGATATAAAATGATAATATTTTTTCAAAATATAAAAATTATTTTATGAAATTTTATCTATTGTAAATAAATTTTTACAACGGAAACTAAATTATAAAAATATAAAAAGTGAAATACCTAATTATAATTTTTAAAATTTAGTAATTTAATTAAAATTTTTCAAAAAAATCATAATCAAGTAATATATTAAGGCTATCAAATAATCGTTAAATGCTTCTAAAATCATTAAAAATTATCTTAAATGTCTCTTCACTTTAAACAAGTAAAATCTTATTATTAATCATAACATGTAAAATATATTGTACACATGAATTAAATGAAAGAATATGTATAAAAAAGTATTAGATGAAAGCATGATGCACAATGTACATGATGCACAATGTACATGATGCATGACTTTTCCACAAAATAATTTTATCAAGTAAAAAAAAATATAATAACTTGTTTAACTGCACGAAATATGATAAAATATCCATTCAACTTATGTAATTAAGGTGTGATTGGATAATAATTAAACTACAAAAAACGTGTCCAAAGAAACCGAAAAGAAATTGGAAAAAGCTGGAGAAGATTTTAAGGCTATCAAGCCCAATAACTCAAAAAGCCCACCTTGTTATTTTACATTTTAAATTTTGAGCCCAGCCCGTGAATCTAAACCCTAGTGTTATAAAAAGGTTAGGGTTTCGTTCAGCTTCTTCTCTGCGTTGTGCGTTGTGTAGCTGCTGTGTCCGTCGCGTTTGTGTAGAGTTATTCCATAGCACACCTCACTGAACAGCATGGCGGATAAGGCTGTCACAATCCGAACCAGAAAGTTCATGACCAACAGGCTTCTTTCCAGGAAGCAATTTGTGAGTTTCTCATTCAGTTCCTCTTTTGACACTTTAATCTGCAAAGGATAACTTCAAATAGTGCTCTCGGGGTCCTATTCGGTTGTTTTTTTTTTTTTTTTTTATCTTTGTTTATTGTTCGCGTATTACCACGGTAATGCAATCGTCACTTGAATCTCTGTTTTTTTTGGGTGATTTAGTTTTGTGTTATGAGAATCGTATTGATTTGTTTGAAGCGCGTAGTTAAAGGATGCGGTGATTTTGTTTATTTGCCTAATGTTGGATCTGAAAATGCGCAACGAGCTGTGTGATTTTCACACTTATGGTCGATTTCAAGCAATTTATGTGATTGACTGACGGATGATTTATAGTTCTTAGTTGTCTATTAACGTACAGAATTTGGAGGTTATATCCCTAATTGCAGCGGCAGAGATTCCTAGAGTTTTCACTCCTAATATTTCTACGTATACTTTTTCTGGTGTAGGTCGTTGATGTTCTTCATCCAGGGAGGGCAAATGTTTCCAAGGTACTTATTTTTAAACACTTTTTTATTGTTGTTAAATTAGAGTTTAAACAACTGATGTTAGGAATTTGGGGACTGCTAATATCGCAAGTTAGCTATTGAATATTAACTATTAAGTGGTTATTCATTGAAAATGTTATAGAAGATTATTAATTTGTTTTATGTGGATTGTGGTGTATAGGCCGAACTTAAGGAGAAGCTCGCTAGAATGTATGAAGTGAAAGACCCTAACACTGTGTTTGTCTTCAAATTCCGAACACATTTTGGAGGTGGCAAATCCACTGGTTTTGGTTTGATTTATGATTCAGTTGAAAATGCTAAGAAGTACGAGCCCAAGTACAGGCTTATTAGGGTGAGTGAACCACTAACACAATCTCTTTGTTTGAATTTTTGTTCATTATTTAATATCTCCTGCTTTATGATTTTTATATTTTTATAGTACTTGTGATATCATTATTACTGTTATTGTTCTTTACATTTTCGCTTTTTTTTACTGTCATTTTCCTTCAGGTTTAGGGATAGTGTCGCAATTGCAATTATCAAACTGTATATTCACACTCTTTGTATTAGACATTATGTTATTGTGTTTCAGACAATTAATTTAAAGCAGTGTTTGGATAAGTATTAAGAATTAACTGAAGATATCTTGGAATGTAATATGGTTGGTAATGGCGACCGTTGCCATTCTGTTCTTCAATGATGTCTTAATTTCATGATGTCATTTTGAAATTTAATCTTACTCAGATATAATATCTCGTCATCCGTCTTTTAGTTATTTGGTCTTTGAGAATATTTTTTGTTGTTTGTGTCTCTTGGCCACAATTGCATTATTTTGTGCAAGTGAACTAAAATATCTATATATTTCAGAATGGTCTTGACACCAAGGTAGAAAAGTCAAGGAAGCAAATGAAAGAGAGAAAGAACAGAGCTAAGAAGATTCGCGGAGTAAAGAAGGTAATTTTGTGTAGCTAGTAATATTTTTGCTATCCTATCATTCGACCAGCGTTTGAATAAATTATAAAATGTGTCATGAATTGTTTGTACAGACCAAGGCTTCTGATGCTGCTAAGGGTGGAAAGAAGAAATGAGTTTTGAGACATTCTGTTTCGATTCTAAGGTTATATTGGTTTCGGTTCTTTGTTATAGTTATTTTATGTTATGTTAGAATTATAGAATGAGATGTTTTGGTGCAAGTGTTGGTGCTTTTTTATTTATGTTCGCTTACAACTTCATATGTTGAGTACTAGCATTGAACAATTTTGAGATCTCTTGTTTTACTTTGCTGTGCGTTGAAATATTTGGTAGATTCGAGCTAGTGAGTTATAATGTTGCGTAAATCTGGCCTAAAAGCATTTGCATTTATTTAGTAGAATGCGATGAAAGTGTAAATTGGGCCTAAAGCAGTTGCATTTATTTTGGTAGAATGCCATCAAAGTGTACTGTGGGTATTGGTAGATGTGTTTTTATCAAATCTCAAATTCCAAATAATGCAAAATCACGCAACAATGTGACAAGGAATATTGAACCCCCACTGGTTGGGTTATCCCTTCTTTTTTACTTATAGATGAAAAATATTTAGTTTAAAAATCAACTGCAGAGGATATGGTATCCTCATTTTTTACTGTGATTTCTTATCTTAAATTAACCAGAGCATTTCTGATTTTAGGGTATACAGCATTTTATTGAAATTACCAGTTGCAGTTTTTTTCATTGTGCACGTGAAATCATAATGTATACAACGATTTTTTTTAATGTATATATATTTACAAGATTTTATTGATACATTTACAGGATTAATGATAATAAAATAAAAATAATTAGGGCAAAACGTTGAAAAATTAGGCAGTCTTAGTTTGTGGAATTTTAAAAATATAGACCTCGATTTCTGATAGATAAATTGTTATTCTAATGTTGACAAGATGATTAGCCATATTTTAATGAGGCAGGTCGTTAATTTTAGGTTGGGTTGAATTGGGCTTAGTCATATTTTCGGATCGAATTAGGTTATTGATTAACTAAGCAATGATCTTCGAATGGAACTGTCGATGTTATTGGAACGATTTGCACGCGAGCAACTGTGTAGTATTTAGTGTTAAATATATAGGAAGATGTCTTTTTTTTCCCTAAAAAAAATGGGATTTTGGGTATGTAACTTAAAGGAATAAAAGTAATAGTGTGAATAACCGTATTTCATTATGTTTAAAATAGTAAAAATAATAGACAGGACGGGTGCACCAAGACTTTCTAGATATATAAGAGAATCAGTCAAGTATGTGTTTAAGTATGTTTGGATATTAATTTGAAATCATGTTGAATAGAAAAATACACAAGTAAAAGTTTATAAATGAGTTTAACTTAATTGATCCTCAAACACATCCTATATTGTGTTAAGTAGTCACACACCCTATACTGTGTTTAGTAGTCAGTAGTCAAATGGGAAAAAGATATTCGTATTCGCACAGCAATTTGATGCCCATATTTCTCAAAATATTAAGTGGGTCCCTATCATTTAATATTATAGTCTCAGGTACAAAAATTCGACATAATTTCATGAATTTTTGCAAACACATGGTCTAAAGATATTTTTTAAAGGATATATGTAATGTATTTATGAATATTCGACTTTTTTGTGTGTGAATGATATTCGACTGAACAGTTCTTGTTTAAAACAAAATATAAAAATGAAATGTATTAAAACAATACATTTTTTTTAATACGGAAAAAAGAAAAAAGTTTGAAAAGAAAAAAACGAAACAGGAGTTTGGTAATGCGAATGGAACACGTCAATGTATTACTCACTCTTGAGTTAGCATTTGTCAAATGAAAAGAAACGTGAAATGGATGAAATCTGTGAGCTTGGGGGTTTCAACTACCAGCTGGATATAGATCAAAGTTCCACGCTTTACAATTCTATACCATGCCGCAACTGAAAATGAAACATAAATCCTTATCTTCTAGTTATTTTTGTCTCACGCGAAAAAAACACATGATAAACTTTTATATATTTCTAAAACTATGTTTTCAATAATTCTGTCATTATTATAATTGAAAATATATTTTGTTTTTATTCAACAACTTATATAAATAAACAGTATTGCATGCTACATTTTAGATAAAATATTATAATATTTTTATTATAATGATCAACAACATTTTAAAACTTGAAATGTGAAAAATGATTATTTTATAAAATAAAAATCTCATTATGCAGACCGGGATATGTTATCATTTCAAATGAATATTTTGCCCTTCTTAAGCAGCTATTGAATCAATTGATTTTTGTATTTTCATTAACTTTCTAATTAATATGCAAATTTCTTCAATTAACATGAAATATAATAAAATAGTATTAGAAAATATTAATACAGAATTTTTAAAACCGAATTTAAAAATAGTAATAAAGTGTATTTAATAATAAAAGTACTTAGTAATTAAATAAAATAAAGTAGGAGTAATTTTTAATATGAAGAAAATATGGGTTTGTGGGAAAAGAGAGCGTATATTCCTTGTAAAATGGGGAATAAAAGAAGAGAAAATAACGAGGGGGGGGGGGGGGGGGGGGGGTGGGTGTTGGGGGGGGGGGGGGGGGGTGGGTTTGGTTTGGTTTGGTTCTGTGGTTTGGTTGGTCCACTACCTAAACAAAACTAAAAACCAAAACCACGCTTCGGATTCCCAATACCAGCAACAAAGCAAAGGTGAGTGAATGAATGAGCGAGTGAGTCCAACAATACACCTAAACCCGTGACTCACCCCTCTCTCTCTCTCTCTCTCTCTCACTCTCTCACATGGCTTCTCAGCAACACGACGCCGTTTTCCGCGAAGAGGACATGGACGACGACGACGAGTCCCAGGAGGACGAAGAATACGAAGAGGACGACGACGAAGAAAACGACCCCTCTCTCTCCGCCTCCGCCGCTCTCGCCGTTACCGTCGCTGTCCCCGGTTCCGCCGTCTCCAACGGCGCCCCCGCCCCGATGTCGGCGCCCTCCGCCACCACCGTCGTGGTCGCCGACTCCTCCGATCCGAAGCGGCGGCGCGTGGACCAAATCGAGGAGAAGAAGCCGCTGGACGACTCGCGGCGGCTCTTCCAGCGGCTGTGGACCGACGAAGACGAGATCGAGCTCCTGCAAGGCTTCCTCGATTACACCTCGCAGCGAGGATCCTCTCAACACAACGACACCGCTCTGTTCTACGACCAAATCAAGTCGAAGCTCCAACTCGATTTCAACAAGAACCAGCTCGTCGAGAAGATCCGGAGGCTCAAGAAGAAGTACCGCAACGTCCTCAACAAAATTGGCTCCGGCAAGGAATTCTCCTTCAAGAGCGCTCACGATCAAGCCACCTTCGAAATCTCCCGCAAGATCTGGAGCAACGTGGCGCCTATCGGCGACAATTCCCTCGACGACGACGAAATCAACCCTAGCCCCAACACTAACCCTAACCCTAACCCCAACCTTAATTTTAGCCCTGTAATTCTCAAGAATGAAATGGTTTTCAGGAATTCCGCGGAGAAGAAAACACCGAAACGCCCTCGGCCTCGATCGGCCCCGAAAATCGAGCCAATCGATGGATCCGCGTCGAACAGAGATCATAATTGTATAAGCAATGCTACTCCTACCGTTACACCTACTGCTACAGCCAACGCCACCACTACGGGTGCTAATAATAATAACAATAATTGTAACAGTGGCGGTTATAGCAATAACATACCGAGTTTGATCGAAGAGACGGTGAGGAGTTGTTTGTCGCCGGTGTTGAAGGAGTTGATGGCTGGCGCCATGGGAGGGACGTTTGGGGCGAGAGCGTTTCCGTTCAACATGAGTCCTTTGCCTTTGAGTTTTGGCGGTGCGGAACTGGTGGATGAGAAATGGAAGAAGCAACAGATTTTGGAGTTGGAAGTGTATTCGAAGCGGTTGGAGCTTGTGCAGGATCAGATCAAAGCTGCTATGGAGGAGTTGCGGTCTAGTGGAACTGGATCACACACATTGTAGTTTGTTTTTGATTTTGTAGCGAATGCTCGGAGTTCTTCCTCTTCGTGTTCACTGCATACAGATTTGCGTGGTAATTTATGCATCCATGGTTGAAACTGATAGTAGCCTTTAGCAGTTAGCCAGTAACTAGTAAGTAAGTGGTAACTAGTGTTTTTCCTTTCAATATTAGTTTTTCCTCATTCGGTAGAGTACCTGTCCATTACAATAAAATGTTCTACATTTTAGCCGTTTTCTTGTTCCTTTTAATTTTAATGGTCTCATACATGTACAGAACAGATTGAAATAATTGGTGCCAAGTGATGGCTTTGCACCATGATATGTTGTAAAAGATGCAAAAGTGGGTTCTTAGTTATGGAGCGTTCTTCCTGAGTACCTTGTTTTTAAAGTTTAATGCAGTATTCTGTGCGTCTCCGGCTTCGGGGTTTGTTGCTCCACCTTCCGTATTATTATTGTGGTTGTGGTAGCAGTATGCTTCAATGGATGATTGTGAAGATTCTGCAATGTTCAATGTCAGTTGCTGAATAACGAAACCATGTATCGTAAATCAGGGGAAGTGGAAGTTGCCCACGATTTCAGCTAAATATTCATATATGCTGCAAGCGATTGAGCCTTGAAGCCTTTGAATTTTGAATGCTTAACCTGTCTCCGTTGGTGTCTACCATCACTATCAGTGCTCGGTTTTGGTTTTACTCCCTGTTTGTTCTGTAGTTATTGAATATTCAGGGTTTTTCTCCGACTAAGGGCGTGTTTAAATTGCCGTCACGATCAGTTAACGTTAGTCCTATGAGTGTCGTTTCTGAGTGTAGAGTTCAGATAAACCTGAATTGGAAAGTGAAATTTGAGTAAAACAAACAAACTAGATCATCAAATCAATCCCTCGGGTTTCTATAGTAGTTAGATCATCAAACACAATCCTCAATTGTCAATTCAGTGTTTGAAATTGATTACGGTCACTCATTTTAATCATTCCCGTCAATTTGATCCTTGAAACTAATCTTCAAATTTGGTGAAAAGCAAAAAGGGATGGAGAGCAGGGAGAGAAAAGGGTCACAAAACGAGGGTTGCTTGCGTTGATTCATGCAATGATTAGTTTATTCCTTATCCAGTATTTTCAATTCGGCTTAGGTTTAATCCCACAATTTCACTTCACCAAGTATTAATAAATAATAATCATGGTGTCAAACTGGCAATCATGTGGCAAAAGGGAAAATACTAAAAAAATGACAAAATTTCGACAACGATGATTTGCACGTGAGTCCTTTATACAACAACTACTAATGCGATCTTGCATTTTTTAATAAATTTTTGTTTTACTTTTGTTATTCCCAACATAAACATCGTTATTAAAACGTTGATTTGTTTGCCATCGGGTGCAGAGAGAATTTATCTACTATTAACTTAAGTTGTATCACAGAGTGTTTCCGGCTGGACAAGTCTACAAACTCGGCAAGCATTTTTTACTTAGAAAATTTGTACAATAAAAATATCCACACAAAAAAATGTATTAATGTTTTCAAAATTTTAACGAGTCTCTATCTTAATTTTATTATTGTCAATCAATGTTCCTGTCTTTTCCTTTTCTAATAGTTATTTAAGATTTTTATTCTCAAACTAAGAAATATAATAAGTTTACTTCCGTATCAAATACCGAGTTTCACATTGGCCCTAATTGCACTACCACGTTGGCCCAAACCTTGCGACCAATGTTGGGCTGATTTCAAGCTTACGCACACCTAAAGAGAGAAAACCCTAAAATTACCAAGGTATGTTTACTATAAATACAAGATATCTACACTATTAAGTACTAACTTTAGCATCTAGGTCTCTTTTGTAAGTACCCACCCCATCTCATAGTAGTCGACGTACCAAGTAGAGGAGGCTCACCGATCTTGCCAGTAAATCGTCCCCACAACCGATTTCAGGTGAGAACATCTGGCGCCCATAGTGGGGCCTGAACCCACGAACACACGAGACACGGCGACAAGGAAAAAATCGAAAAGGAAGTGCAGGAAAGGGAAATTCAACCCCTAAGTTTAAAAAACTTGCCCCGATAGGAACATGTACACATTAAATGGGGCTCATAATAACAGGGTGCGTCCCATCATTATGAGTTGTCACTCTTTATTACAGCCGCCAACTTTTCGAGAAACGAGGCGACCTTCTGACAACACATGGCGTTCAACTCAAAATGCAAAAACGAAAGGTCATGACCCCTCATCCAGTTGTCTCCAACTTGGCATGAACTCCTCGCCCAAAGAGCTTGGGAGCTAGTGTACTGCCCGTACCAAATACCGAGTTTCACGTCGACCCTAATTGTGCTACCATGTGCGCGGGCCCATAAGCCAACAGGGCTTGCGGCCAATGTTGGGCCGACTTCAAGCTTACACACGCTTAAAGAGAGAAAATCCTAAAATCACCAAGGTACGTCTGCTATAAATACGAGACATCTACACTATCAAGAACTAACTTTAGCATCAGAGTCTCTTTTGCATGTACCTACCCCATCTTAGAGCAGCCGACGTACCAAGTAGAGGAGACTCACCGATATTACCAGTAGATCGTCCCCACGACTGATCTCAGGTGAGAACAATAAGTTTTCTTATTTTTTATAAAATAAATTTTATACTTCTCAATATATATATATATATATATATATATATTATTTTTACTTTATAATAAATGTATATTAGTTTTGATGTATAAATTAAATAAGAGGTAAAATGTGAATATATAATTAATTAAAAAAAGTAGTTCATAATCTTAAAATTTAAAAACTACAAATAGATAAAAACAAAATTCAACTAAAAATATCAACAATTATGAAAGAAGCAAGTAACTAAGAATAATAAATTACCAAGACAGTTTAACTTATTGGTTGATTAGCAATGATTAATTTTCATTAAAGAATTAACTTCGTCGATAACTATTAGAGTATAGAGTCTTTTCTTTCAATTATATTATTTTTTAAAACAAAATTTCAATCTAAAACTTTACTTAAATAGATCGGGTTTATTACATCTTCAACTAGCGATTTGTTGATTCTTAGAAACTGTAATTGATTCATATCGATTGAAAAAACTAAAAATAGACTATTTGTTTAAAATGGTGAGTACATACTACATTAGTTTTAGATAAATTCTTAGATTCTGGCGGACTAGAAAAGAAGGGAGACAGGCTACATGCATGTACAGCCCGAACTGCACTGACCCTAAGTTGATGATATATACACCTCCATTTTTTTATACATACATCCCTTTTTTTAAAAAAAAATATTAAATTTCTAAATTATCCTTAATATTATTTGAAATAAAAAAAAAATTATTATGGAAAGTGTTTTTCAAAGGTTGATGATATATACACCTCCTTTTTCCTATAAGTACACCTCCTTTTCAAAAAAAATAATAAAATTTTTAAAATATTCTTAATTTTTTACTTTTTTTAATTTTACATTCACAACATTTAATTTAGTACTTTTTTTACAGATATTTCTTTTTTTTATTTTTTTATTTTTTCAATTTTTACATGCATCCCGTTATCTTTCCTAAATCCACCTATTTTGATAGCATGTAAAATTGAAAGAGAAAAAAAAAGTGTGTGAAAAAAAAGAAAAAAGTAGAAAATTGAAAGTTAAAAGTATAAAATTAAAATATATATATTATTTTATAATTTAAAAAAAAAAAAAGAAGGTGTACTTATAAAAATAAAAAGAGGTGTATATATCATGAGTCTTCCGAAAAGAACTTTCCGTCAGAATAATTACGGAAAGTACTTTCCAGAATACTAAAATTACTATTCCGGAAATAACTTTCCGTCAAAATAATTATGAAAAATACTTTCCATAACACTAGAATTACTATTGCGAAAAATTCTTTCCGGAATATTAACAGTGTGTGTATTTTTTTACCATAATTCCGGAAAGAACTTTCCGTAATAGTAATTTTAGTATTACGGAAAGTACTTTCCAAAATTATTCCGACGGAAAGTTATTTCCAGAATACTAATTTTAGTATTCCGGAAAGAACTTTTTATAATTATGTACAAATACACCTCCGAAAAAGTTTTCCAAGATATTTTTTTTTTATTTCAAATAATATTAAGGATAATTTAGGAATTTAATATTTTTTTTTAAAAGGGAGTGTATGTATAAAAAAATGGAGGTGTATATATCATCAGCCCTGACCCTATTGGCCTAGCCCAACCCAACTCAGCAGAAGAAGCCCGGCCCGAGTATTTGAATTATTAAAATGAAGAGAAATTGCGTACGAAAAATAAAAAGATAATTAAAAAAAAAAAAAAAAAAAAAAAGGTGTTGTGGGCTGTACCATTTACAATTATATATATATATATATATATATATATATATATATATATATATAATTGTAAATGGTACAGCCCACAACACCTTTTTTTTTTTTTTTAAAAAAAAAAAAAAAAAAAAAAAGGAGAAATGCGTACCTTATCCAAGTGAAGTGAATTCACATCCCAACGAAGGAAGGAAGGGACATAGCATATACTATGATTCTTCTCCTTCTCCTCCACACAAGAACCCACCGTCTCCCTCTGCTCCGTTCATAACAATCAATGGCTTGTACAACACTCCACCTCTCAACCCCATTCTCCCAACTCCACCCAACGCTCAAACCCAAACTCCACAACCTCCCCACACCCTCCCTCCTCCTCAAACCCTGCAAACTCCGAACACTCACCGTAACCTCCGTCGACGTCTCCAAAGAAGAGACGCCGGCCGAGGACCTGGACCCCCGGCGACTGGAGGAGAAATTCGCGGTCCTCAACACTGGGATCTACGAGTGCCGCTCCTGCGGCTATAAATACGACGAGGCCGTGGGCGACCCTTCCTATCCCCTCCCGCCAGGGTTCCAGTTCGAGAAGCTTCCCGATGATTGGCGCTGCCCCACGTGCGGGGCCGCGCAGAGCTTCTTCGAGAGTAAGAGCGTTCAGATTGCGGGCTTTGCGCAGAACCAGCAGTATGGGCTTGGGGGAAACTCCCTCACTTCGGCTCAGAAGACCATCCTTATATACGGCACTTTGTTCTTTTTCTTTGCGCTCTTTTTGAGTGGCTACTTTCTACAATAGTGTATTGCTGATGCCTATTTATTCACGCTATATTATGTATCTCCTTCTACTTCAATGCTTTGTTGCTAAACTCTCTATGTAAAGAATGCGCTCTCGTATTTTTTGGTTTTTCCAATGCGCCTCTGCTGCCTTCTGGGAAACTAGGCTACCCAAGCTTTTCTCGTTTTGGTCAATCAAGGATGAGTTATTATAATCCAATTCTCACTATTTCTTATCACTTTTTAGTTTTACTGTTACTTTTTTTTTTTTTCCTGCGCTTCTCCCGCTTTTTATTGTTCTGTTGTATCTTTGATGATTGTAAAGAAAATGGTTAAGAATTTGTTGGATCATAGATGATGATTTCTCAAAAAGCCTTATTCTTCTTCTTTATAAGGAAGGCGTATTTTATGGGTATTTGCATGGTTATGATAAATTATGCTTTTTAAAATAAAATGTTAAGTAAGATGAGAAAGATTCTTTACTCAATCATGGGCAAATATTATACACAATATAATATATACTAACTAAAAATAACATTTTTTATTAACAAAATAGTCATACTTTTATAGTTTTAATATGATAATACTTTTTCTCTTAATACAATATTGCCATTTTTAAATACTTGCAATCAACCTTAGAATTCAATGTTAACATTTTTCAACTTAAAGATAAAATTTTCTTCCAACGAAAATATTCAAGTCAAATCTGGAACATGGTGGGGAAAATTTATTCATCAAAATTTTGAAGGATTACACATTAAATTAAAGATAAATGTGAAATTTAACATCCAGGATCCAATTTGGACAAACAAACAAAAATTAAACAAAACGCTTTTCATTTTGTCTACAAATTTACTATCGTCTATTCAAGACAAATATGGTACATGATAATACATGGGCCACTGAACGCAGCGGGATTTTGTACATGCTACCCTACTCATGCCGCGGACAGCAAAATCAGTTTACAATATTTCACGAGTATTAATTAGAACTTGGAAAGCAAGAATATTGTGAATGTAATATAACTCTCACCTTTCCAATTGGTATAACCTGGACAACTATCAAAGAAGTGCCTGTGTAGTGAAGGCAGATCACAATTCTTAGCAGCACCTTCCCTGCAGATTAGTGTTATCTAAAGCTTTGATAAGCATTTCTCTGCCTATTGCATTAGGTATCAAATAATTGCCCTCTCAAACTCCATGGTTGAACTTGGATGAACTCCAATTTGAGGTACAGCCTGAGAAATGGAAGAGGGCACTTCGGTCACAAGGCAAATAAAATCCACAACAGCCACTATGGATTCCCGTACTCTGGCATATCTTGGGGTTGACGGGTTTTAACTTGGTACACCCTCTTCGTGTGCTTATCATAAGCTCCCCCCAATGTAGCTTCTTGATGCCCAGCATATATTCCATTTGTATCTGGTCCTTTAGTAATCCATTTTGGAGGTGGTATAGGAAGACCCATGCTCTGCACAAATTGGTGTTGTAGATTTGTAGTTGGCCCGGAATTGGGCGGCCTCGATAACATCACTGCAGGTGTCTTTGGTGAAGGCACTGCATATGTCCTAGGTCTCGTACCGTCCTCCATTGGCAAGGTATTAAACCCAGTTCTCCCGTTGTAGTACTGTTCATGATGCTGTGACCTATCTTGCATCCTAAAATTCTGTTTGTCATAATGTCCACCATTAGATGGAACTGGATATCTAGGCCTATTTATTAGGCCATGGTGATGGTAATATTGTCCGTAATAACAGCTTGTGTCCTCGCCATAATATTTCCCAGATCCAGAGGGTCCAGCTGATCTGACCCTGTTCATTGCATGATGGCCAGGAAGCTGCTCCGACGATCCATATGGCATATTTGATTTAATATTAAGGGAGTTCTTGACAAGACGATGTGCTGCTTCTCCCAGTTGAGGGCCAGCCATTGCTCCAGGCACTTGTGGTCTGTCGGAAGCATCACACACGAGAAAGGTAAGAGCTCTTTAAAAGTATCTTTCTTATCATCCACATAAAGTCATAAAGACCAGATTTCATGCATAAAAAACTTCATGTGCTTAGTTCGAAAGGCATTGAGAACATATCAACCCACTCAACATAGAATTTTCTAGATTTTCCACAAGATCATTACTTGAAGTAAATATTGACAATTTCCGCTAAAAAAAATTGTCCACTTACGGTAGGGAGTATTACCAGTACCAATGTCACTACCACAATGAATATTAAATTTAATCAACTGCTGTGGATTGTATTACACCAATCTAACAACTTCAGGAATAGATAGATTCTCACCTTTCTCTGCCTTGCCGTCGACCACTATTGTCTTCGTGCCATAACACAGGTAACGGTTTAATATCAATGGCTTTTAATATCTGCAATCATACTCATAGATCAAAAGGGAAAAAGGAGAAAAAAAATTCTTTGAAAAAACTAAAACAAAAATATAATATTTGATTAAATGAATCAAGTCATGGCAACTATCTGAGCTCTGTTATTTGGCAATTGGCACAAGAATGTGGTTCTAAATATATATATATATATATATATATATATATATAAAAGGGGGTTCAGCATATTTTTCATCCCTATCAAAAGTCAAAAATACATTAATTTTTTTTCAAGGACAATTAACATTTATGTAAAGATTAATTAAGCATTTTTTTAATAAGCTCCTATCATACAAAGGCTTATGCCATAAATATGACCATGTAACTTACTGAAATAAGCTAAAAAGAGCTTATTTTGATAAACTACACATAAAAGGTTATTAAAATAAGCTTAAAATAGAGTTTATGGGAGTCGAGCCATTTTCATAAGCTCAAATCAACTCCACATAAACTATTTCAAATGCCCTGCCAAAATAAATGAATCATGAAGCTCCACCCACAGGATGAATCCATTAATAATGTCAAATGCTAAGAGAAGTCAGTATACCAACCTTTTTTGGCATTAGTACACCATGCGGAGGTTTTGGAATATGACTATGTTTACGAGGATTAAGATAAGTAATATTTCTGAAATTTGAAACACTCAACATGAGTTCATCCAATGATTAAAAAAATATTAGGCAAGTGTGAAGGACAAAACTTACAAAACTTGATTAAACCCAATGTCTTGCAATCCCTTGATGGGAGAGGATACAATGGTTCTGAGCACATTTCTTTCGTACAACCAGAGATATCCATTCATACCATCGCTGCTAATAAAGAAAATACGAGAGACATTACCAAACATATTTATGATTATGACTGGTGACCATTACCAAACATATTCAGTTATTCACTAACCTAGCACTTGGGTCAATCGGTAGAGCAGGTCTTTCATGCAGAGGCAATTGGCAGGAATATTGGTAATATGATAAGATATGTGGAGCCAAATTATGCGCACTGCTGACATAAAGCAAATCAAGCATCTTACTATTTCGGAGCTGTTCCTCCTCCTGCACATATTGAGCACCCAGACGCAACTAACAGTAAGCTGATCTAATAAATTCATGTGGTATGTGCTACTTGGCCAACGCTGGGCAAAAAAATGTTTCAAATTACCTGTTGTAAACTTTTACTATTATCTCTGTTTCTATATATAATACTTTTTTCACTTTTTTACCTGTCCCTTTTTATAAGACTCTCTTCTAGCTGTAACTTGCATTTATTTTATCTTCTCTAAAATACCCTTATTTAATAAACAATACTTTTAAACAAAAGATAATAAACATTCGAAATTAATTGGATAAAAACTCTCTTATTAGGATTGGAGACGATAAATAGGCACATAAGTATCTCTCTTCCAAGTATTAATTAATTAGGTGAGAAATGATTAGGTGGAAAAAAGAAGGTTAATTTTGTAAAAGTTGTTTAAATTATTGAGAAATTTAATGCTCTGAACTAAATTAACTAATTTTATTAAAGGGTGTAATGTAGATTAAAGGGTCTTATAATTAGGGATGGAGGTAGTATGAGAGAAGTTAATTTCATTTTTCCTTTTTATTTTCTCCTCCTATAAGTGTTCATAGATAAGTTTATTCAAATAGGACCTAAAACTAAATATTGTAACAACCAACACCCCTCCCCCAGAAAAGTAAAAATAAGAAACATTTCCAGACCGTCAATGTGCCTTCAAGCTTGCTTGTGGCAGAAAGCAATTTCTTCTCATCAATGAATGGCAACTTGGCAACACCCTAAAAAACATTCCATTTGCCATTTCATTATAAAGCATTAATAAAACATTAAAAAAAAATACAGAGAGACAGACCACAATACAAAACTATATTACCTGCCATGCAAATCGTTTTCCATTCATATCAATCTCAAAATCTGTCCAAAAGCAATACAAGTAATTCTAGAAACTCTATAAAATATACCAGAATATGTCAAATGACAGACAAGTGAGCTCACCCGCAGGGTAGAATTGAAGAATAGGTGATGAAGGATCGATCATCAAATTCCTATATTTTTCGGGCAGTGCACTTGAACTGTAACAAGAACTTAACAAACATCAGCACAGGATGCATGATATGATAGATCTGAGGACAGGAGAGATGAAGAAACCTTGAAGCGGGTAGGGTCCCCATTAGTTGATCAAATGGTTTAAATGGTTCTCCCAAAAAAAATGTTATTTCCAGATCAGCTAGATCTTTAAGATCAGAAGCAAAAGGGGCATAATGGTATGGGTAGTACCTGAATGAAATAACAATAGTGAAAAAATTGAAGAATAGTCCTGGGTGATTCAACCAAAATGAAGGGATCTATGAGAAATTTATGTCAATCATGTTAAAGTCACTCAAACATTATCAAAGCATGTTTTCCAGCCCTCAAGGCATCCAGTCCATATTATATCTTATTAAATCCCTCATAATATGATTAGAAGTACCTGCTAGCAACCATCTTTGGAATAATAACAGGATTTAATGAAGCTCAGTAGTTCTGAGCAGTAATACAAGGTTCCAAAAGAATATAAAGATGCAGGAAATTGCAAAACGAACATATGTGGAGCAAGGCATTCCTCAAGCTAAAGCCAAGTAATTTAGTACTATAACAAAAGAAAATAACCAACCCTTTATATTTTAATTGTCTTATCATCCTTCATGAAAAGCAACATAAATTTTTTAGATCTTACTACAATGTGGCGAAGGAACACAAGAAAGGGTAATTCACGAATGAGGAATAATTGTCACAACAAAACTATGACCTAACCTCCATTCTAGCAAAACTGTATGAAAAAACACTTGTACCCATTGCTTTGGATGCACCACAATTAAATGTTTACTTAACCAACAAAACTTTACTAATCTCATTTTTTGTCACCATTGCTGCTGCCCAGCCAGTTCTCATGTACCAAGTCCTTCTAGAAACCTGACAATTCTCAAGTCAGCGCCAGTTCTGTCAACTATACACCACTGACTGGCAATTTCTCGGAATGATATCTCCTGAATCTGAGTTGCCATATCCTCCTTGTTCCATCTTGTTTGTTTCATTCCGAACAGAGCCACACACTGTCATCATTTCAGCCTCTATAGAGCACAAGAGTCATGTGCCACCATCCAGTCACCAGATTCCACCACCACTTGTGCCACCCTGCTTGCTGGCTTCCTCTAAACCTGATTCAAGGATCACATTTCACTTCTGTAGTGATTTAAATAGCATTTCTAAAAAGACTCTAGGATGCATCTTATTTTCTGTTCAAATGCCTATATCCTATGTTACAGCATTTCTGCATTTGCTCTTTGAAGATGTGGCTTTTGATCAAATTTGAGTAGTGGGTTTGAAACAAAGTGTTCACAGTCTCTCTTGCAATCTCACCATTATCCTTGTTTGACATTTGTTTCAGTGTTTCCTCTGTTACCCATTACAATCAACTCTTGCTTCCTTCCAGTCTGATTTGTCCACAAATCATCTTCTATCAACACCATCAGCTTACTCTTATCGAACGCTCTTCTTACCCAACCCAAATCGTCTGGTACTTAGTCAGCTCTCCCTTTCCTGGTGATGGAGAGTTTTACAAGCTGATGAAGCTAAGAAAGTCTTGTTGAAAGCAGGAACGAAGACTTTGATGACTATTTGAACTAGTTTCAGAGGCTTGATTGACCCTTGGAAGTGAATCTGGCTAGGGTGCCTCATAAGGCATAGGGTAGGGATTTGAAACTGGAGGCCTCTCCTTATCTAGTTCTTTCATTACGCCGAGAAGAAGCTTGGAAGAAGAGATGGTCACTTGCTTTTATGCATCCCATGGTTGTTTGGCTCCCTTGGCTGCATTTTTCTTACATAACATTAAGGGAGTGAAAAATTAAATGTGCCTGCCTCTGCAACTTTCCCAGTATATGCAATCTAGCCCTGCAGCTTTCCCAGACACACTGTTGTGAAAGTATTCAGCGGTCCTTGCCGGGTCTAATCAAGAACTTTGTTACCTTTCAAGTCATGTTTGGTGGAACCCGTATTATTTAAAAATAAGTTTCATTTGTAACAAGCTTAAAGCTTAGTAAGCTTTAGCTAGATGGAGTGTTGACAATAATGGTATTTACTATTTAATGTACTTTGGAAATAGTATGTTCATGTATCACATGATAGATTACATTCAGTTCTCATGGCCATTAGTGACTAGGAAGTTGCACTTAATTAATAGTAGCCTAGGAAATAGTCTCCACTAAGTCCATTAAGAGGCTACATATGTGGATGATTTATACATCCTATGTACTACACATTTACTAAAAATAAGTCATTTCATTCTCTGTTCCTCTATAGTCTCCCTCGCTAAATTCAACACACATAGTAAATATATTATACAACACACTAATTGCCCTAGGATATTAATATTATCAGGCCAAGAAACAATCACATGAGGTCAATTAAACATCCAGAGTTGCAGACAAGTTAGCTTCCTAGCACTATTGAAGATCTAAAAGAAGTTGCAATTGATCCTTTGAGGGACCATGAGTGGGGATATTTCCACAGCATGAGCTTAAAAATGCATTTTTCACCCTAACTGGTTACAGTATAACATATCATGCATGTAGATTTTCCACCTTATCATTCCAGAAACAGAAAATAGCAGAAATGGATCCAAATATAACCTATTAACTAGTAAAAGCACGACTAACCATTGCCAAGAGCAGACACCCTGATAGTAATACCGACTAACCCAACAAAGGCCTTCTACATATTTTAAGACCTACAAGGAAAACCAAGACAATCAGCTATCTTCGAATGCAATATATATGAATAAGAAAACCAAAAATTATTTGAGTTGTACAACAGTCATCAACAAGAAGTTAAAACATAATATAAATTTTCAACCAACGAGGCCCTTATTCCCTCGTGGGCATAAAAGACTGAGGAACTGCACAAACACACGCCTCTTGTGAAACAGGCAGATAGTAAGACAATTCAAAACACACTCACAGCATGTTCCTAACATATCGTTTAAAAAGAAAAATTTTCTCTATTTTTATGTTTTGTTTTCACTTTTAATTACAAAAATGACACCTTTTTTCGCTTTGTTTCCTGTTTTAAAAAATTTATATAAGAAATATTGAAAACAAACTTTTGGAAACAGGAAATAAGATGACATATTTGTAATTAAAAGTGAAATAGAGAAAATTTTCACTAACAGACCCTTATATGCTCATCTATCGTGTGTTTCTGAAAATTGAATGTTATCACTGATAATACGATAGTTAACATTTAGTATAAACTTAAGCAATGAAGTTGAACATTTGAAATTGTTTCCATTTTAAGCATGAATGTGTATACAAGCAAGGTGGCAACAAACAATTCCAAGAATACTGACAGGACATACTGTATCTTTCTTGATTTTGTCAATCTCCTCCGGATTCAATGCACCAAATTTTTCAGCATAATACCTTTCCTTGTATCCAGGCTCTCCTAACTTAACCTGAAAAAATAACAATATTGGATTTCAAGCAGTCTGACATTGGCCAAGGTTCCGTATTCAGTGATCACTAGATGAATTTTACCTGATAAAAACAATATATGAATCCTTTCTAATCCAGGATCCTTTAGCCACTTTAATTAAAGTTTAAACTAACAAAAGGAATATTTAATTTCAAAAAGAAGCAACCCACCCAGATCTCATTCATAAAGAAACAGAGGAACCCAATATTCAATCACACAATATCACACATCCAACCATACAAGGTTGCAGCAAAGTTTTCACTTTTCAGCAATACAATTCCAGCAAGGGTTTGAGCAACCCACACCCACCCACTGTCAGTAAGGATTCCAAATTTTGAGCTGGTCTGAATTCTTTCTCAGAACCCCAACTACACTGATAGGAATCAATGTATCAAATAAGAGATAGTTGAATTGGTACTTATATTTATCTCTAATAAGAGGAAAATTCCTCTACTCAGTGTAACTAGAGAAATCCAACAAAGTAACAGAAAAAACGACTAATGATCGAGATAATCTCCTTAGTCCTTACAAGTATGGAATAGCCACTAAGCGAGTAAAACAAATTAGAAAGCAAACACCCAGATGATGAGAAGAGCTAGCCTCTCCTAAAAATCTCACCCACAACCTCTGCGAACAATCCCCCCCACCCCAATCATTTGGTTACCCTCCTATATAATACTCACTTTCTCTCCCCCCATTGGGCTTTGCCGGCATAACCCTCCCCGCTTTCCTGCTGCCACATAGCCATTCAGTAAATTTTTTTCTTTTGGAAACATGACTTATGGGCATAACACACACATAGAGCAAGCTTCTCGGAGAACACAACGCTGAACACACAAAATAAGTGTGTTCACAGTCAGAACATGAGATTTTACAGCAAACCCGGCATATTGTGTGTTCTGAGCTTGGATTGAAATAAGCCTTCCAGACAAAAACACACATGATACAACATTGTAAGTGAAGACAGAATACAATTGTGATTATCATAATAATATGTGAAACCAATTTAATGCGTGTTTGGGAATACATCTTTGATGTACATATTCTTTAATTTTTCATGTCAATTTCTAAGATTGATGTAGAAGCTAAAGATACTTGCTTCTAATAATTCATTTCACTGTGTTCAACCTTCAAAATGGTTTCCAAACATGCTGTTAATTACCCATCATAACCCACAGATATGCTACCCCAGTTGTATGTCTGAGAAGCCACTAGAATTACTATGGTTTGGGGTCTAGAGAAGTATAGTGGTGTTCCCAAACAAAAGAATAAAAATTCAGCAAAAAATACAAAATTCAAGCCAAATGTTTTTAAAGATTTGGGCAATAAATCTTATTACTGGACCTTGTCCATAACTGACGACCGTGGTTCTTCAGGCATTTCTCCTCTTGCCCTAGCTTTCATCTCTTCATTAATTTCTGCAGCCTGAAAAACAATCAAATCACAAGTATTTCATATCAGGAAGTAAACTTGAAAACCATATTAAAAAATATATATAGCTCAATCATATCAGTTCATGAATCTAATTAGACGGACTTATGAATGATATCCCCCGGATGTAAAGTCTAATGTTACAGCACATCCCACACGGAACAGTAGATAATGATAGAAGAGGAAACAAAGGGTAATAAATACAATAGTATCTATGTTGGTGTTGGCTAGTGAACTTGCATTTCAGTAACAAACAACCACCAAAGTTGAGAGTTCCATATTCAAGGGGAGACACTACACCTAGTACAATGGAACAGGGATTAAGGAATTATTCTAGTTTTATCGGATGAAAGTCCTCAATAATTCTGTACATCCAAAATCTACCAAGATACTGAACTCTACTTACAGTCATTTCCTTTATTCAACAGAAAATTACGGGGAAACTCCATTCCCAAAGCAAGTACGATACAGCCAGATCAAATTCTACAGCTATAGGAGTGAATTGAAGATTTTTCTACATCAATATTGACAGAACTTTCTTACAATGCAGCAAACTATCCCTTCTCTAAATACAGAACCATGAAAATAAGCAGAACTCTGACAATTATCGAATTTGATCAGTGCAAAACTTCAGAGGGGTCAGAAGTTAAAACCTATAATAATTATCCCTTCCCAATAGGGATAATCAAAACAAAGAAATCACAGTACCTGTTGAAGTCGAACTCGTTTCTGAAATATTTGATCTTCATGAACAGCAACAGACTGAATAAAATGTTCTACTCTCTCTAAGAACACCTAGAAGGTTCAATGATATTCATATTACAACACTTATTGAAGAAACAAAAAACTCCATATGGATGACTTAAGAAATAAGACAAGCAATTGAAGGAAGATTGCTAAAAAAAGATTCTGTCACGTGCCAGAACACATTACAGCTTTACAATAACATACAAAACGACAAAAACAACTTAATTGAATTTCAGGAAAAAGAAAAGAAAAATAAACTTACCTCACCCGCATCAGTAAGATAACCACCCATGGCAGTGAATTCCTTTCTATACATATGCATCAATAAATTTACAGCCCCCTGAAACAGTAAAGAAGTTTGTCAAAGAGAGCAATATTGGTACAAAGGGGGATATGCAGGTAAAAGGGCATAACTTAAGCATGTTTTTAAAAAACTAAATAAAAATTCACAAATAATGAGAAGCAGAACTGGCATACTCCCTATTTCAAGCTACACCTCAATATAACACTCTGCCTTCCAGATGCTTACCTCACGGATCTCTAATGTCGGCATATGTGGAAGAAAGTCATTGCCAACAAAGAAGCATAGAAATACAAAATCATCCACTATGCGTTCAAAGTCAATCTCAAAAGGAGGGTTGGGAATCTCCATTTCATATTGCAAATATTCACGCAGCACCCAGATGTTAAGAAACTGTACATACAAGGTTTTTTAGTTTGAAATTAAAAATCAATAGAAAAGAAAAATAAATTTTCAGCCTAACATGCTGGATTCTGATACTCCAACCTGATATTTCTTCTTGTGAATCGGGGTATCATCAACTGGATTCCAGTCCTCAGCCTTCTCACCTGGCTTACCACGACATTCAGCTGCAAGATGGCCAACTTGGCCACACTGATAACACTTCTCTTGTTGTCCAGGGAAAGTGATTACCTGTTCACTCGTGTAATTAATCATCAAGGCAATCTATTGGGATCAATGATCTAAAATCACCAAGACCATTCATACACTGGAAACTAACCTCCCTCAATATTGAGAAATGAACCTCATGTGTGGCTAAGGACAACATAATCAAATCAGCATCCTGAATAAAAGATCACATCAATGACAACACACAATATAAAAAACAAGGAAAGAATAAACACACCAACCTCAGATAAATTGAAATTTTCAAAATCAGACAAAAACTCACCAATCCATACAAACAGTGACGGGTATTTGGATTAAATCCAGGAAGGTTACGCTGCAATCGTATGTATTCCATTATTTTATGTTCTCCCTCACCAGGAACATTTGAATCAGAAAGTATAACCTTCAAAAAATACCCAATTCAGCTCCATAAATAAATATGTAGAGACAAAATATCCTCTGAAAACTATATGTATTTACAATATGGTAAAAGAAAACAAATAGGATTACTGCACAAGAAAGGAATAATCAATATTGAAAGGATCAAGGGGGCAAAAAATAAATATGATAAGATCAACCTTTGTATTCCTCCAGCCAGGGTTGTAGTTCAATCTAGACTGTATGTAATACTGAAGAGCCACTGACAGCACTGCCATAAATGGAGTGCCAGGGGTAATGACATTTGAGTCGTAAGTCTCGGGCTTGTCTTTAGAAGACAAGAGTTCCATCTCACCCTCAAATTCTTCCCTGAGTCTTTCCTTTTCAGCTTCCTACAACATTACATTTTACTCAAAATTTGTAACAGAAATAGCAGGAGATCATTGTAAACAGGAGCATGCTCATGTTCTTACAGCCTCAGCTGCATCTTTTGCAGCTCGGAACCGCCGTGAACGTTGCTGATTCATTTTGGCTCTTGGTGCAACACCGTCTGAAGGGGCCAAAAAAGTACATATGGAAAAAAATGGTCGTAATGAGGAGGCTATTCAAAATCAAAACAAACGTAACAGACAAAAACTGGATATTAAAAGTTATAATTCTCCATATTGGCTATTCTGTTTTACAGACACTTATCTGAGTATTTTATTTGAAAAGATTTGCACTAAATTTTGAATGTACAGCCATACAGGAATGTTCCAAGTTACTAATCATCAAGAAGAAATAGAAGGCTTAATGGGAACCAAGTTGCTGGATATTTGTAAACTTCTTTTTGACTTCTTTAGTGTGATTTCTGGGTTTTCGATATAGAGAGATTAAATTTCTTGGATTTATAACTTAAAGGAGCTGACACGGCAGATCCTCTATGATGAGAAACTATGACGCACAAATATAATATGTATCTAATTTGGTGAAATGAATATTCTTAAAATATATAGGATACAATGCATGCATTCCACAAATGCAAACAATGAGCATACTTTAGGGACATTACTAAACGCAAAATAGAAATTATAAATCCTTGTCATGATAAATTGCTGCTTATTGTTTACAACGAGGAATATGTCAGTCTCATTTCCCCCTTAAGTATCGTCTGCACATAAGATGAAGTATTGGGAAATATTTGGTGTTCCATAGATGAGAAATACAATAAGAAGAAAAAGCAGCATACCGATTGCAAGATAAAGAAGCTTCCTTGGGCGAACCAATGAAAAGAGATGGTCAATGTAGTCAAAGATTGTTTTGAATACATCTTCATAGGTAGCAGGTGCTGGCTGCATTTTAAAAACTAATCAACAACAAGTACTTTACTGAATAGATATGTAATTTACAAAAACCACCTCCGTCTAAACACAAAATAAAGAAATCACAGATCCGAATTGCCATAGTCTAGTCAGCTTCTGACAAGGTTTCACTACTCTCATAATCATGTATGATAACATTTCTTCCAAAAAGTACCAGGAACTCAGTTTACTTTGCACCTAAATGCAACAAATTCTAAAACAAGTTTTCAACAACCAATCGAGGAACATCCAACCTCAATATCAAAATCCAACAAAGAAATTCATTCAAATACTTAATATGAGAAGTTGAAACAGAAATCTCAGAAGTTCACCTATCATAATCTTTCCCTCTCTTCGCTCATATGCGTATTTCTATTAGGTTACATTCACTAACTTTCTTCAACCAATGAAGAAGACATTAATACGATTAACAGAATAACAGGTCAATTGATTGCAATATTGAATCACGGGAACATGATGGATTGAACGAAAGTAAGGTAAAGAGAAGCAGGTAGGTAGGTACCTTGCCATCAGGATGAAAACAAGGGTGAATAATGCCGTTCATGTCCAAGTACAAGTTGTCAAACTCCATGCCATTGGGATTAGGTTTCGAAACATCGACGGCGCCGCCGGCGGGCTCTTCCTCCACAACGTCGACGATGGAGAGCGGGTAGCGGTCAGCGAGCCACCGGTAAAACGCTGGCACTCCCATATTTTCCGGCTCGGTTGGGCCCGGTTCCGAAACGAGTGAGAGGGAAAAGAAAAGAAACTCGGGAAGAGATGGAGATCTGTGTTGCCGTTTAATGTACGGGCGGCTGCGGTGGCCGCCTTATTTGAATTGATGAGACGGAAATACCCCCATTTAAGTGCGCACTGCGTGAGTTCGTCTTTTTTTTTTTTTTTTGTTTAATTGTGAGTTCTGTTTTAATGTTAACTCGATCAAATTAAATCTAGGTGTAACTCTTATTTATTTGTGAAATAAACATTGATAAATATTTTTACATTAAATAAGAATAAAATAACAAAATAAATATTTATTTAAAAGAATAAATTTAATATCAAATTTTATATTAGACATAAATAAAAATCATATTTATAAATTATTGTAATGTTATAAAAAATGGTTATTATATTTATAATCAAAAACATTTACTTGAATAATACATAATATCATATAAAATAAAAATATTATATATATATATATATATATATGTATATATTAGTTTGAATCGTACATTTTGAACTTAAATCCTCAATATTTTATTTTTTATCATATCCCAAAATATCTCATAATAGTAGAGACCATTTTTTATAAATTTTTATTTCTCCTCTATAACCTTTATTTAATGTGATCCATAGAACTTTAGTCACACTTATCAACTCGATACTTGCAGTCGTTAACTCACATCAATGAGAAATGTCATCTGACCTCCACACTGTTAGGAAAACTTTTAACAAAAGGATCCCATATTTGGATCTACCGCCTTACATTGTTAAATACTCATATGAAACTCTAAGTTAATTATCTAGTTGACTATTAGCCCTAATACCAACAAAGCACTCAATGTTCACACAAACATATCTCTACATTGATATGATATTGTCCACTTTGGACATAAACTCTCATCATTTTGTTTTTTGTCATCTCACTATCCAGAAGACTTTCGACACAAGGGATCTCACATTTGAATCTATTGCCTCTCATTACCAAATACTCATTTGAGACTCTAAGTCTATCACATGGTCAACCATTGATTTTAATATAATTATTGGATACTTGATGTTCACACACACATCTCTACATTGGTATGATACTGTTTACTTTAAACTTAAACTTTTATGGTTTTGATTTTGATTATCTCCCAAAAATCTTCATATTAATGGAGATTATGTGTATATTAAAAACTTTTATTTCTTTTTAATAAAATGATGTGAGACTTTATTTGTACCTCAATGGTAATTATAGAGCTGTCAAAATGGGTTTGGCCCGGTGAGCCAACCTGGCTCACCACGGGTTCGAGCCGGGTTGGGTTAAAAAAATTTGAAAATTTCAATGCGGGTCAAATTTGAACCCGGCTCACTAACAACCCGGCTCACCCGGGTTGAATCCGTTGTGAGCCGGACTGGCTCACCAACCTGTGATTAATTTTTTTTTTTTTAAAATACAATAATTATTGGGTCATGGTGCAGTCTAACATGAGACAATAATAATTTAATGTTGGATTGTGATTTGTAATTTTTATGATTTTGGATTGTATTTGAAGTTTAAGATGATTTTGGATTATATTTGAAGTTTAAGATGATTTTAGATTATATTTATCTATTTGAGATTATTTAGATTTGATTTGATTGTATTTAAAATTATCATTTAATGTTTAGGATAAATGATTCATTTATGGATGTCTTAATTAAGAATCTCATATTTTTAAAATAAGTTTAAATTTTTGGGCTTTAATTGTATATTAAGAAGAAAAAAATGAAAAAAATTATTTTTTTTAAAGGTGAGCCAACCCGTTTAACCCACCAACCCGTGGTGGGCCGGACCGGGTTCGATTTTTTTAAGCTCACTAATAAATGAGCCGGGTTAGGTTGGCCCACCAAATGGCCAACCCGTGGTGGACCGGGCCGGGTAGCCCGTTTTGACAGCTCTAGGTAATTATATATAATAATTGGACTTCTAAACAAACACTTCTTTCTTTTTAAACATGTACACTTTAGCAATATATTAATAATATAAATAAGACAAATCACTTATATAAAATTACGTGATAGATAATAATGTATTATAATTTATTAAATTGTGACTATACATATAATGAATAATACACATAATGAATAATACACAACTAAAGATAACAGAGAACAATTCAAAAACTTGGGAGTCATATTATATAACTAAATTTCTAATGGCTTAGGACAAATATATTTAGATTTTGGATATGAAGTGCAAATAAAAGTCAAATATGAAAATTAAAATGTTAGTTTATAAGAAGACTAAAGTTCTATTAACGTGGATTAAACTGATTGTTGAATTTAGTAAATAAGTATATGCTTTACATTTTAGAAAGTAAGGCACCCAAATGTGAATGCACTCCTCACTTTTGTTTTCACAACTTGACCTCAACTAAATTTTGACAGAAAAAAAAATCGTTTTAACTGAATATAGAATTGGGTACGAATTTTTTTCAACTTGGAAAATCAAGTTAGGATGTGGGTATATAAGTTGTAATGAACGTAGATAAACAATGAAACAACAAGGAAATAATATGAGAGGACACTGTGTATTTTAATGCTGACTGTGAAATTTCATATTATGAGGAATTGATGAAGTAACAAGCTGCTCATAATTTCAAAAGAAGAGAATAGAAGCTGCAGAATTAACAGAATTGGCAGAGAATATCCCAAAAGGGCCAAGAGAGAGAAAAAGACAATTCATACAATCCACCCCTTTTCTCATTTAGCAATTTCCCTTTTATAATCACGTGGTCCCCCATACGAAATCCTTTAGTGCAGAATTGGCTATTCTTTTCCTTCCACTTTTGCGGTTGCATTTGTTTTCCTCCCTCTTTGCCAGGTGTCCACTATATCCAATGTTCCCCACATGCTCACTGCCCGCACCATTCATAACATTGCTTCCCCCATGGACAACAACCTTGTCCTCAAGGTTGAAGTTAGGATACTCACTTTGCAAGGTGAGTGCATCTTCCCAAGTAGCTTGAGAGATATCCAACCCTTCCCATTGGACAAGTACTTGAGGTATATGTTGATTCTCTCGCAAAATGACTCTAAATTGTAACACCTTGAGCGGTTGAATAACAGGGCCAAATTCATTTGTGAGAAATGGCAGAGGCAGATATTGTTGTTGATGTTCTCCTTTGCATGGTTTCAATAGAGAAACATGGAAAACTGGGTGGATCTTCGCTGTAGGTGGCAATGCTAATTTGTAAGCAACAGGTCCAATCCTTTGCATCACTGGAAAAGGACCAAAATAACGAAGGCCAAGCTTCTGGTTTTTGCGAAGTGCAACTGAATGTTGTCGATACGGTTGGAGTTTGACAAACACAAGGTCTCCCACTTGGAACTCTACATGAACTCGTTTCTGATCTGCATATTTTTTCATCAAATTCTGGGCTTTCATCAAATTTTGCTTGAGACACAAAATTGTCTGATCACGATGCAATAACATTTCGTGTAAGGAAGGGGGTTCAGTGTCATCTTTCACATATTTAGGAAGAGTAGGAGGGTCTCTCCCATAAACTGCTTTGAATGGTGTCATGCCAATACTGGTGTGGAAGGAAGTATTATACCAGTATTCTGCCCATGGTAGCATCTTACTCCAGCTTTTCGGATCATCAACCGTGAAGCATCGTAAATACATTTCTAAGCATCTATTAAGAGCTTCGGACTGACCATCAGATTGTGGATGGTAGGCGGTACTCATAGCTAAGGTAGTGCCACTTAGTTTACAGAGTTGTTGCCAGAAATTACTTGTAAAAACTCTGTCACGATCTGAAACTATGGACTTTGGTATCCCGTGCAACCTTACAATGGACTTCATAAATACCTCCGCTACTTGCTTGCTGGAATAATCTGCCTTCAGCTGGCAAAAATGCGCATACTTAGAGAGACGATCAATGACAACCATAATCACGGTGAAGCCATACGATGGGGGAAGGCCAACAATAAAATCCATTGCCAAGTCATCCCAAATTTGTTGAGGTATAGGTAAGGGCTGTAACAGTCCCGCGGGCAAAGTAGTAGATGATTTGGCTTGTTGGCATATCAAACATTGTTGGACATAAGATTTAATATCTTGGTGCATACCCGGCCAGTAAAACTGAGAAGAAACCCTTGCCAATGTGCGCGCAATACCTGAGTGGCCACCGATTGGAGAGTTATGCAGCTCCTGCATGATAGTTTGGATCAAGGGATGCTGCGCTGGTACCACAAGTCTTTGCTTCCAGAACAACAACTTATTGTGAATGGTATAATGAGGACTTGGGGGAGTGCCTACGTTGCATAGTCGTATAATATCTGAGAGTTTCGCATCAGACGCAACAGCATCACGCAGGTTTGTGATGAAGTCCCATTGAGGCTGAGAAAAAGCCATGAAATAGGATCGAGACAGAGCATCTGCAGCGAGGTTCTCTTTGTCAGGCTTATACTCAATGGTAAAATCGTACCCCAAGAACT